AGAATGAGACTCTGTCTCAAAAAAAAAAAAAAAAAAAAGTTTATAATAGATTCTTCTAAGATAATAATCTGCAGAAAAATCTGAATAAGATACAAAATGAAATCCATGATCAAAATATCAACCATACGAACACTAAAGTATATTTATATATTCAGGATTCATTAAAAGGGGTAGATTTTAGAGCCATATGGGACCCAAGAGATTAGTTTAGCTTATTTTATAGAGAATATGCTAACATTTTAGAAGTCAAAACAGGTAAAATTTTGCTTTTGTTTATTTCAGTACTTTCATCACAAAAATAAAAAAAAATTTTGGCGTATAACCCAATATACATATTTTCTGGAAGACTACTTCAGAGTATGTCAAAAGTCTTTAAAATGTGCATGCCCTCTAACCCAGAAATTCTTTTTTGAGAGTTTGTTCTGAAGATACAAATCATAGATGCTCATTCATTCAAATGAACTCAACCAGTATTTATTAAGCAACTTCGATGAGCAACTAATACTGTTGTGGGTGTTGGGGAAAACAACAGTGAACAAAACGTATCCCTGCTGGCATGAAGCTTACATTCTGGTGGCAGAGAAAGACAGTCAACTAATAAATATACATAAATCTCAGGTGTTGATAAACACTATGAAAAGAAACAGGGTATGAGGGTAAAATGATGAGATTATGATTTAAAAAGCAACCAGAGGAGAAAGTCTCGGAAGAAATGACATGAATGAAATAGAATGTATGTCTTATAAGCAGATAGAGATCTGGGAAAAGAAGAACTAAAAATGCAAATGCCCTGGGGCAGGATCTCCCAAACATCCCCAACATAGTCAGCATCATACTGTGTGTCAGTGAGCAGCCAATTATGAGTACTAGATGCTAGTCAAGGAAATCTATGAGTTTGTTTTTTTTGAGACAGCATCTCGCTGTATTGCCAAGGCTAGTCTAAAACTCCTGGGCTGAAGGGATCGTCTAGCCTCAGCCTCCCACTGTGTTGTTTTTTAAATCAGCAAGTAATGTTTTGACTTTCAAAATAATTCTACTTTTTTTTTTTTTGAGTCAGAGTCTCGCTCTGTTGCCCAGGCTGGAGTGCAGTGGCAGGATCTCAGCTCACCACAACCTCTGTCTCCCGGATTCAAGTCATTCTCCTGCCTCAGCTTCCTGAGTAGCTGGGATTACAGGCACGCACCACCACACCCAGCTAATTTTTGTATTTTGAGTAGAGACAGGGGTTTCACCATGTTGGCCAGGCTGGTCTTGAACTCCTGACCTTGTGATCCACCTGCCTCAGTCTCCCAAAGTGCTGGGATTACAGGCATGAGCCACCATGCCCGGCCAATAATTCTACTTTTATATTAAACTTATTTTTACTATTATAATAGTACTTACAGTTAGAAACAACCTAACTATCCTATGATTGTTAGTAAATTGGCTACATGTATGATTGTGCATTTGTAAGATAGAATACTTTAAAAAAATTAAAATAACACAAGCCATGTTGTCAAAAATATTTAATGATATGGAAAAAATGCTACTATATTAGGTGAAACAGAAATGTATGAAACACTACATATGAGCCCAATTTTATTTTAAAAATATATACAGATAGATATATATATACCTGAACTATTTCATAATAATGAAAAAGAACGGAAGACTATATTTCAAATAGTGTGATAACAGTGATTACTTCTAAGTGGCATGATTACCAACACTTTTTTTTTTTTGAGACGGAATCTTGCTTTGTCGCCCAGGCTGGAGTAGAGTGGCGTGATCTTGGCTCACTGCAACCTGATTATGGACACTTTTATCTTCTTTAGACTTCTCTATGCTTTCCAAATATCCCAAATGAATTATTTTTTAAACAAGGGGGAACCCAAAAGTTATATTCAAAATAAATGCCTTAGAAGATAGTCTTAGCTCTTCGCAGGTGAAAAAAATAACAACAACAGGACAGGAAGCATTTGAATTCCATTAGTTCTTTTTCTTTATGTTTGATTTACTTGGGACAGGTTAAAGGGTAACTAAAAAAGTTCTAGAGGAGTGATTATACTTACATTCCTGTTTGAAGGTGAAATAGTCTGTAAGATGCCTGCATTCATGATTTCCCCGAAGCAGGAACAATGTTTTGGGATGATTAATCTTTAAACTCCATAAATACAGCACACACTATAAGACAGATAAAATTTTCTTTGTGACCATTATAATGCATAAACACAATTTACATAATTCAAATGACTTGCTGTAATGGCATATATCATTGTTACTCCCAAACTGAAAAATGAAACCTTTTGAATGTGATATACTTATTGCCCTAGAATTTGACAGAGTATAGAGTAGCTTTCACAGAAATCTCTCTCTAATCTCTGTTCTCATGTTCTATCTAAATATCTAGAACTCTCTCAGAAAGCCACTCACACATATATTAGTCCTAAAACCTGTATTTTATTTAATTCTGAAACACTAAAGGCATTTCCACTAAGACCAGGAACAAGGCAAGAATATTTACTATCTCTGCTACTGTTCAAAACTGGTGTAAGGGTATTAGCCAACTGAATTACACCTCAATTAGAGGGTTAAGAATGGGTAAAAAATAAAACTATCTCTATTTGCAGATATAACCCCCAAAAACCAATAAAACTAACTCAAATAATAAAATAATTCAGTAAAGCAGCAGGATATAAAATTAACATACAAAATCAATAGCCGTGGGGCACAGCGGCACGCATATGGTTCCAGCTACTCAGGAGGCTAAGGCAGGTGGCTCACTTCAGCCCAGGAGTTCAAGGCCAACCTGGGCAACATAGGGAGACGCCATCTTAAAATAAAAAAAAATAGGGCCAGGCGCAGTGGCTCATACCTGTAATCTCAGCACTTTGGGAGGCCGAGGTGGGCAGATCACCTGAGGTTGGGAGTTCGAGACTACCCTGACCAACATGGAGAAATCCCGTCTCTCCTAAAAATACAAAATTATCCGGGCATGGTGGCACATGCCTGTAATCTCAGCTACTTGGGAGGTTGAGGCACGAGAATCGCTTGAACCCGGGAGGCAGAGGTTGCCACAAGCCGAGATCACGCCACTGCACTCCAGTCTGGGCAACAAGAGCGAAACTCTGTCTCAAAACAAACAAAAATAGACCTTTTATACAGAAACAATCAACAGAACATCATGGTAGAGAAATCCCCATTTGTAACAGCAACAAAGAGGCCTAAAGACACAGGAATAAATTTAACAAGAAATGTGTAAAATCCATACAAGAAAAAAATTTAAATGTCCCTATAAGACACAAAAATAGACATGAAATAATGGAAAGACATTCCTTGTTTTTGGATAGAATAAATCAACGTGAAAAGATTACAGTTCTCTGCCAGGCACAGTGGCTTATGCCTGTAATCCTAGCACTCTGGGAGGCCAAAGTGGGCGGATCACCTGAGGTCAGGAGTTCGAGACCAGCCTGGCCAAGATGGTGAAACCCCGTCTCTACTAAAAATACAAAAATTAGCCGGGCGTGGTGGTGGGTGCCTGTAATCCCAGTTACTTGGGAGGCTGAGGCAGGAGAATCACTGGAACCTGGGAGGCAGAGGTTGCAGTGAGCCATGATCACGCCACTGCATTCCAGCCTGGGTGACAGAGCGAGACTCTGCCTCAAAAAAAAAAAAAAAAAAAGATTACAGTTCTCCCTAATTTAAGTCATTCAAATTCCAAGAAAAATACAAACAAGCTATTTTATGGAGTTAGACAAGCTGACACTAAAATTAACATGGAAATATGAACATGCAAGAAAGAACAGCCATGAAAACGTTAAAAAGACACACCATGAGGGCAGACTAGCCCTACCAGATGTTAAAACATACAAACGTCTATAATCAAAACAGTGATACTGGCCTTATGTAGATAAATATACCAGTGGAATTTTATACTACAGATATAGTATAAAAGTACCTATAAAAACATGGTAAATAATAAAGGTGGTATCTCAAATCACAGTAATAATGATGAACTTTTAAATAAATGGCTCTGGGTCAGGTGGCTGCCATTTAAAAAAAAAGATAAAGTTAGAACCACATCTTACACAATGTACAATAACCAACAAAAGGATAAGCAATCTAAATGTAAAAAGATAAAACCACACAAGTTCTAGAAGAATACATGAGTGAGTTCTTAAGCCCAGTATAGGTCAAAATTGATGTAGGTAAGAACTGTGTAACCAATGACTAAAAATCCAGACACAATAAAATAAAAGATGGGTAAACGTGACCACACAAAAATGAATATAGGTCAGGTGTGGTGGCTCACACCTGCAATCCCAGAACTTTGGGAGGCTGAGGCAGGCAGATAACCTGAGGTCAGGAGTTTGAGACCAGCCTGGCCAACATGGTGAAACCTCACCTCTACTAAACATACAAAAATCTGCTGGGCATGGTGACAGGTGCCTATAATCCCAGCTACTCAGGAGGCTGAGGCAGGAGAATCGCTTGAATCTGGGAGGCAGAAGTTGCAGTAAGCTGAGATCACACCATTGCACTCCAGCCTGGGCGACAGAGCAAAACTCCATCCCCACAATAATAATAATAATAATATAATTCGCATAGTAAAAAACAATTTGGCCAAACTGACAAAACTACACATTCATTTACCTTTGACCCACTTCTAGGAATCTACCCTGAAGATACACTTCCAACAATATGAAAATAAATATGCACAAGGCTGTAGCATGTGTGTAATAGTAAAACATTAGGAACAACCTAAATGACCATGCACAGGAGAGAGGCTAAGCTATGATACGCTCAAACAATAAAGCACAAGGATGAGGAAAGATCTCTATAAACTGATTTAGAGTGATTTCCAGGATATATTTTTAGATGAAAAAAGCAAAGTATGGCTGGGCATAATGGCTCACAAACGCAATCCCAGTGCTTTAGGAGGCCAAGGCAGAAGGATAGCTTGAGGCCAGGAGTTTAAGACCAACCTGGGCAATACAGCAAGACCCTATCTCTACAAAACATTTAAAAATTAGCCAGATATGGTAGTCACATGCCTGTAGTCCCAGCTATTCAGGAGGCTGAGGCAGGAGGATCCCTTGAGGCAAGGAGTTTGAGGCTATAGTGAGCTATGATCATGATCATGCCACTGCACTCCAACCTGGGTGACACCGTGAGACTCTGTCTCCTAAAAAAAGTACAAGAGTAGCTATAGTATGCCACCCTCTATATAATAAAGAAGATATATGAAATTCATATGTATGTATCTCCTTTGTACATAAAAAATGCAGGAAAGATAAACCCAAAAACTAAAGAGATTGGTTACCTATAGCAGGCATTCAGGCACTAAATAGACTATGAAAAGAATACTTGTTTAAAGCATGAGAGCTAAAACAAGAAGGGAGAGTGTGGCCTTGTTTGGTCTGAGGTGGCAACATGTGCGCTGGGAGACTCAAAGTAGTAGATCACTCTCCACATGTCTACCAGTGACTACAAAAGCACTGTATTGATTTTGAGATTACAAATAAATTTTAGCAAGGAGGCATAGGCATATTTGCAGATACAGAACCCATGAATGATGATAATCAATTGTATACACCAATTATGAAATATTCTGTATATATTTTACAGCCTCAAAACACAAGCAAAAATTGAGAGGCTAATATGCTTTGGCAGTGTCCCCACCCAAATCTCAACTTGAATGGTAGCTACCAGAATTCCCACACCCAGGGGACAGTAACTGAATCATGGGGGCCGGTCTTTCCTGTGCTATTCTTGTAATAGTGAAAAAGTCTCATGAGATCTGATGGGTTTATCAGGGGTTTCCACTTCTGCTTCTTCCTCATTCTTGCCACCGCCATGTAAGAAGTACCTTTTGCCTTTTGCCTCCCGCCATGATTCTGAGGCCTCCCCAGCCATGTGGATCTGTTAAGTCCAATTAAATCTCTTTTTTCCCCAATTTTGGGCATGTCTTTATCAGCAGCATGAAAAAGAACTAATACAGAGGACTATGTTGAGAAACAGATAAATCAATATAGTCATGCACCACGTAATGCTGTTACAGTCAACAACACACCACATACAGGACAATGGTCCCATAAAATTAAAATAGAACTGAAAAATTCCCACATTCTAATGATGTAACCATCATAATGTCTACATGCAGGCATTACGTGTTTGTGGTGATGCTGAGGTAAAAAAAACCTACTACACTGCCAGTCGTATAAAAGTATAGCACATACAATTTATGTACAGTACATAATACCTAATGATAAATTTACTGGTTTGTGTATTTACTATACCATACTTTTTATAATTATTTTCAAGTTTGTTCCTTCTATTTATAAAAGAAAAAGGCTCATTGTAAAACATCCCCAGGCAGGTCCTTCAGGAGAGATTCTAGCAGAAGACACTCTTACAGAACATGACAGCTCCATGACTGTTACTGCCCCTGAAGGCCTTCCAGTGGGACAAGATGTGGAGGTGAAAGACAGTGATACTGATGATCCTGACCCTCTGTAGGCCTAGGCGTGCATGCACGTGTGTGTGGTGTGTGTGTGTGTGTCTTCATTCTTACCAAAAAATTTTAAAAGTAAAACAATTTTTTAATAAAGTTTACAGAAAAAAAATATAAGTAAAAATATTTTTGTACAGCTGCATAAGTCTTAGGCCTTCACATTCACTCATAATACCACTTGTAAGCTAAGTGGTATTACAAAAGAGTCAAAAAGTTAAAAAAATTTTTAAAAAAATTTTGGGGGGGTATACTAGGCAAAGAACTTTATTAACCTTCATTTCAAACTTGATTCCCAGGCTTCTTCGGCTTAATTAGCTGCAAAGAATGAATTGTGCATAAGCAAAAACTGAAAAGAGCTGCAGTGTCCAAGGGGCTTGAGCTTAAAAATATTAGAGATCTAGATTTTATCAGATCCATAAACAAAAATTTCTTAAAAAGCAGTCATAATATAAAATAGCAGCTCCCAGTAACTTCTTCAAGTTTTATCTTCAGAAGTTGACTCAATTCAGTTTGCCTCATGCTTGGAAGCCTCATCAAAATTCTCCACAAGATCTGGCACTTCATAATCATCATCCTTTACAGTAGCAAGTGGTGCTTTTCCATCCACAGACTGTTTGGGCAGAGCTTCAGCCAGTCTCCTTAAACTAGTCAGACAGTCTGCACCAAGCTG